GTAAGCAGTGCATTGATATAACAACATTAGATCAATAAAGTATAAGCCGTATAAACAGGTAACAGTTTCGACAAAATATGCCGTTTTGGTACACTAAAACAGATAGAACGAAAAATCTAGATCACCGCTACACAATGATCAAATGAGACTTTGAAAAGTGTAGTAAAAAGAATAAACGTTTACAACTTTAGTGGATTATGATAAGCATACAGAAATACTTGGTCAATCTGGCAAAATAAAGTATATTTTTTTCTTAGCTCAATTAGGTGTTTGTGCTTAGATTTAATAATGGCCGTTGAAAGGAAATACTCTGATTATAACGCTGAAAATAACATTATTATTAAAAGGAAACTAGAGGAGAAAAATTGAAATTTTGTTAGCCTTAATGTGTCTGTCAAATTTCCTTCGATTAAACCAAAAAGTTTTTGCGATTTAGTGAAATAACAAAGTGCTAGCCAAAGTTCCGTCTATTGAAAACACTAAAGAATTTGTTGATCATTTCAGTTTCATGAAGTAACCGTCAAAAACTGGCAGATACTTCCTGAATGATTAGCGACTTTTAGTAACCATTAGTATCGGTGACCGAATATTTCAAAATGTTCCCATAATAGAGTTGTTATTCATTATCTAAACCTCTAACTTAAATTTTTTTGATACGTAAGATTTTAACAGTATAGCACAATTTAATGAGCTATCAGAAAAATGAAATAAACTCTATAAAAGAGGCTTTTTTTTTGGTGTAGTTATTTCATAAATAATTTTCATCAAAGTTTTTTTGTGTAACGATAAAAAAAAAGTAACTTTTAGAAATTTTTAAAAGTTTTTTTATATTCCTAAAACCTTGTCTTATTTTTAAAGCTTATATCTCTTATTTTTGAAAAAAATAAATACTGATGAGCTTAACAATTAATGTTTTTGAAATTGTTGTAATTTTACTGCAATCTTACCACTACAGTGAACTTAATGTTTTATTAATCAGTAACTTATTTGATTCAAATTATGTCTTTTTCTCATTAAATTTAAGTCGTTATTTTACCATTTCTTAGCTATATCAGCTTTTTTTTCTTTTAAAAACATTAATCACTGTTTTTTAAAAGTACTTTACTATCATATCTTCTTACTTCACTATTATATCATCTTCTCTTCTACAGTATAACTTCTAGTTCTAGCATCTTTTTTGTAGGTTTAGAAATACTGAATCAAATGTAAACGTGATAAGTTGATTGTAGGTGCTTGTTTATGGCTAACGTTGGCAAACTGCTTCGTAATCGACACTAAAACGATACACAACTTGTTGGTATATGTGAACAGAAAAGGAATAGAATTTGCTCATCTTGTTTACTTCAAACAATTCAACTGCATTTTCAAATGTATTTCTTTCTGATATTTCAATGCTATCTGCAGTCTTGCAAACATCAAATGTCGGGCGTATCAGTGCTGCGATAATTTTTTGGTCTATCATTTGTTCAACAGCTTTTTGTATTCCTCTGCAGACTTAACTGAAGTTTGTACAGTATATCAAGATTAAGTGAAAGAGTTGAACTCTGTATCTCTTTGACGACTTTATCGTTTCTTTTAGTTGCAATAAAACAGTGGCACACTTATTACAGTTTTTGTTT